CTTTGAAGTTTGGTTTTATTTAGAATAATATCTGGGAATTTATCAGCGAAGTCTATTGCTCTGTTGATAGGGATGATACTACCTTCAAAAATTTTATGTCTTAGAAACCTAATCTTAGTTTGACAAAGACTGATTTTTTTGGCTGATACAACCAATCCTGAAGCTTTAACTGCATTTATAAATACATTTATATGTTTGAAGTGTTGATGTATGTCTTCTGAAAATATTAACACATCATCTATGTAAACAATCATAAACTTCATATAAGGGTTGAAAATATCATTCATTATTTTTTGAAATTTTGATGGTGCATTTTTTAGTCCAAACAATATTACATTCCATTCGTATTATCCAAAGGGAACATTAAAAGCAGTTTTATATTTATCTTCTTCAGCTATTTGTATTTGTCAGTAACCAGACTTTAGATCAAATTTCGAGAATATGCATGCATTAACCAATCTATCAAGTAAATCTTTTTTATTAGGTATAAGATACCTAATCCATTTGAGTACCTGATTTAGAGGCTTGTAATTGATTACCAGTCTCGGTGCTCCTCGCTCTTTTTCTGAGGCCTTTTCTACGTAAAAAGCTGAGCAACTCTAAGGAGATGAACTGTTTCTAATCAACTTTTTGTGGAGCAATTCATCAATTTTATTTTTGCATATTTTAAGAAGTCTTGTATTCATTTGGATTGGTCTGGCCTTAGTTCGTATTTTATTCTCACTAAATCCTTCTATGTAAGGTAAATTCACCACATGTTTTTTTCTATTCCAGAAAGCATTTGGCAATTCATTGCAAATTTCTTCTTCTATTTTTCTTTTAATGTTTTCAATTTTTCTTTTATTTTATGGTAACAGAAGATTCTCATCTATTAATTTATATCTTATTTCTTTCCGTAAATGGCAAAGGAATTTTTCTTTGTTTTCAATAGCCTGTTTCATATTATTAATTTCTTTTACTTTTGGCTTGTCAATAAATTTGAATTTTACTTTATATCCGTCTAAATTTGACTCTATTCCCGTACTATCTATTTTTAAAGGATAAAGCAAGTTTAGAAAAGGAGTTCCAAGGACAACAGCTTGGCTTAATCCTTTGATCGTGATGAAAGGTATTTCAAAACAATTTCCATTATTGCATACTGCAGCATTAGATAATTTATATTTAATTATAAGTTTACTACCATCTGTTGTATTCAATATTTGGGTAGTTTTATTAAAATATTTAGTTGGTACTAATCCCTCATTTATACAATTAAGATCGGCTCCTGAATCTATTAATGCAAGGGATTAAAAATTGTATTCTTTATTCACTATTATTCTTACCATCGTAAACCATTTTTGTGTGATAACTTTATCTATTAAATTTACATAATTATTCTCTTGATTATTTTTATTTGCTAAGTTAGATGATTCTGGAATATCACTGTCAAAAGGGTTTAAAGGTGGTATTATCTCTTTATGGGACTTTAGAAGACTATCAAATTCTAGTTCATCATTAGTATCTAATTCTGAGAAGTCGGTAGTCATTTCTAATATCCTTATCCTATTTTTAAGATGCTGGACTTCCGATTTTACTTTATTTATTTCCTGTTTTAACTCAGAAATATAAGGTTCTTTCTGTATGTTGTCTTTTTTATTAATTCTTTTAAGAATTTCTACAAGGCTATATCCTTCTTGAGTCTTGATTAAGGAGGTAGGCTTATTTTTTGCTTTCGTATTTGTAGGTATTGCGTTAGAACTTCGCTTTTGATTTCTGGATCAAGAAGTTTTTCTATTAATCTATGATTAAACTCTCTTCCTTAGTAAGAGTATTAACTGACTTACAAAAACAATCTTCCATATCTTCATTAGAATCTGTACTACTCAATATTAAATTTTCATATTCTATTCTTCCTACTAAAGATTCAGTATCAGAAGATGAAGTATCATTATCAGACTCATGATCTATATGAATTATATCATATATTTGTCTCTTGATTTCTTCTTCAAGGAGTATGGCATTAATTTTCTTTTTGACTCTACAAGTACTTTTGTAGTGTCCTAACAAACTGGTATTTTTGAATTTTGCTTTTGGAGCAAATTTCTTGGTAAACTTATCTTTATTAACTTTATTTCGTTCAGATTTATATTTTTCATTTTTATTCTTTCTTTTATAGATTTTATCAGATGAGGGTACAGTACTATATCCAAATTGTTCGCAAAAATCTCCTAACCCCTTCCTCCTTGTCATTCTTTGTTTATCTTATTGTCTTTTGAGTTTCAAATCAGTGCACAAGGTAAGTCCTTTTGCGCATATTTCTGCAGAGAGTTCTCCTAGGGTATAAAGAGAGTATGCCATGATTCCTCAATTTTTATTTTTCAACCTATTTTTTACCTTTTCAGCAAAAAGATAAGGTAATCATGCTATAAATTTCTCCTTCCAATGGTCGGCACTACTATCCTCTCGTGATAGTAGTTGTCTTGAAAAAAATACATCTTTGTACTATTTGTAATGAGATAATGTAGGGCATCTGAAATTAAAAAGTAAGTCTTTTGATCTAGCATCAAGTAAAGACGTACTTCCTACAAAATGAAGGGTTATTGTGTATATGAGTGTATTAACTGCATCACGCTCACTATGGGGGACATCTTGATTAAATTCATTTTTTACCACCCATTGTCTGGTAGCATTTAATATTTGTTGCTTGGTGGTTTCACTCATGTGAAAGTCCCACCATCCTCTCAACCATCCTGTAAATCCACAGACAATGGCTTTGACGACCTCTTGATCATAGCTTCCAGCAACCTTACAAGCCGTGGCATACATGGTGATATGCTTCATAGTATCCAGTATCTGATGATCAGACATTCCATCAATATTCCAATTGACTATTGTTCTTCCTAAATAGGATACAGTATGTGAAATCAGATCCTCTTCAAATTGTATATCAACGGGGGTTGGCCTAGTATGATACATTCTTGTCGGAGTAGTAGACCTCCATTGCCTACCGTAATCTATTCGATTAATATCTAGATTATTTTCTTTAAAAGCTTCTTCCAATTTCGATATTTCATTATCTTTTATTGGTTCTTCTTCAAGTACCATAGCTTCAGCTTCTACCACTTTCCCTTTTCCTTTTTTTTCTTTTATGCTTAACAAGGATAATTTATTTATTAATTCATCCACTAACCCTTTATTTTTTATTCCTCTTAAGTGAAACCTATCTTCATTTATTTATGGAGGAGGTTTAAACAATACAGCTTTCTTTTTCTCTTGTATTTTCTCTTGAGGTTTATCTAACATATTCTCAATCCTAGTTGCTTGCTTACCAATAAATTGTAAATAAATATTAGCATAATTATTTTGTTCTATCATATGTGGAATCATTTCTATTTTATGGGTATGTTCATTAGGGACCATTTTATAAGGTGAATCTCTTGTTTCTGATTTTTCTTTTGATATTCCTTTTATTTGGAGGCTTCGTGCAGGAGGATGTACACTTTGTACTTCTTCACCCTCGGGTGTATAAAAGGTTTGATAATGGGTTTCAAGGGTGTTTATTTCAAAATCAGGGATAGGAATATCCTTTTCTTTGAGTGTTGTTGTCAACCAGTCAAAGAATCTTATATTTTGTCTATTCTTTTTTATAAATTTATTATATCTTTTATGAAAGCATCCAATAATTCTTGCAAAAATTCTTTTAGGTACCAGTTCTTATTTTTTTATTGGATTCAGATAGGTAATCATTTCTTAATAATTCTATATCTATCTTTTCTTTTTTCTGAAGAGTTAGGACCTGAAAATCAAGGTCAGTATATGATAGTTCATTATTTGAAGGATTAGGATCAACTGGTTTGTAGACAGGTATATGTACGTTGCTACTTGTCCTGGTCAGTCCTTGTATTATAGGTTTTTTTGGTAAAGAGGAGGTAGAATGCCTGAAAAGTACAGGTATTTTCCTTGAAGGTTTTATTATATCATCTGAGAAATTCAACCTAGCTCTTCTATCAGAACTAAATTGTATTTCAATATTTCCATCAAGATGCTCTATTATTTGGTCTGGTTCATTATGGACAGGGGTCCTATATTGCTGGTTTTCATTGTGAATAGACCAATTTTCTGGGAGAACTACTTGGGACCAGTTTATTGATTTGGAATAACTGTATTTGATTTTTCTATGTTTGTTTGGAAAAATACAGTTTGTCCTTTTGTATCCATTTGTAAGACATTTGGACAAAGTGTATTCATAACTTAATAGCATATTTTATAGATTAAAGCTATATTTTGATATCCTGGGCTCATGTCGAACCCTTGTGTTTTTATATCATGAGTAAGTACTTTGAGAAGATTAGGATCACTTAGAGAGATTGAATAATTAGGGAAACATTAAAATAAACCGGACCACTACACAAATTGGATTCTACAACTCCTAATAAGGAATCAGTAAATTTATTATGTCTACTATCCCTAAGACATAATAATATAGAATTATTTAACCCTAATCTAGTGGGTGGTTTAACAGCTACCGATATAAGACCTATATGTAAATATTTGTAATCCGTAGTTTTATGAGATTGGATCATCTTATTAGATAATAATTGATAATATAGAGAAACAAATACATAATTGAAACATACCAAGAGTTCCTATTACTGATATTTATAAAAAAGGGCACTTTTGAATTTAGAACTAGCTTCGCAATAAAAACGAATAGAACAAAGTACTTTCCATTAAAGGTCTAGGGGTGGACGAAGGGCACGACAGGGGGATAAGGGTG